AAATTAACTAATAACGAACCAAATACCGTGACTTCAGTGAACAGTAAATCACCTTCCATTTTAATATAATTGAATGTAGGCTGCCTAATATTTTCTTTTGACATCTTCAAGACTCTAAGCTTTAAGTTTCGTTAATCTCAAGACGTCAATTCATGCTATTCCTCAAAGGTCACCCATTCTAAAAACATTCTCTTCATGCAAGTCCCCGAGTATATTTGATGCCAAATGTGTCTGGTAAGGCGTACTAGCCGTTGGACTTGAAGCGTGAACAAGCCTGCGCCTGAGAAGCCCTGAAAATATGCTAGAATTCGAAGCGAGACATGTCTTCAGTCGTCGGCCGCAAATCCAGGCGTGTCTTGCCTTGACAAAACATTTCTCGACCTCCCTCAGTACATCCTTAGAAAAGGTCCATTTGAAGGGTGGATTTAGAACCAGGTGAATTAGGAACCAGGTGGATGTTTTCTTAGGTGTATTTCCATCTGTTGGAGCCATGTCAACTCGGTTAAAAATACACAAGGGGGGAACATCCACCAGGCTCTTGAAATGCGTGCACGAATGACCGGATGGAACATCCTCCCGGTACCAAATCCACCTCCTATCCTCGTGATCGTTCAGTCGGTTGGATGCAGGTGGACGCTATGTAAGGGCAGGTAATGACTTCTTCAGATTCTTGACTGACTAGGTCTATGCATACTGACTTTGGTTTATTGTCGGCTTAAATGATGACGAGCCTTGGAAATTACCGATCGAGTGCTGCCTTGAATGCTGCTCCCGTTGCATTCAATGCCTTCAGGGTCGTAGTGACTTTAGAGAACATCGCAGAGGTAATCTGACACCCAGATGCATTCCACAGTTCGGGTAGCTGATCTCGGAACTGGGCCAGCTTGTAGCAGACGATGGGATTCGAGTTGCAGACGGTGACGGCCGGGAAAGGCATCTTTTGGGCGTGGCTCATGGATACGTATGTGATCACCGGGTAGGAAAGGTAATCCGCCACCACTTGGTAACCCGAGTACACCGTGAGAGCCGCTCCGATAAGGAACACCGTCAACCATAGCTAAATGAATATTTGAAGAAAAATCTAAAAACCTTTTGTAACAATGATGGCAATAGAAAATACATTTTGGACACATAATTTTGAAATAACTATAATCAGTCATTATCCCAACGCTGAATATTTCCAATTTTTGTGGAAGAAATTCGTCTACGAATAAAAAATTTTGTTTCGACTCACAAGTAATGCCAGTATCTTATTTGATT